GAATTTTCCGGGGGGGAAGACGACAACTAGTAATGGAGTGCTGGGACTTGGTTGACTGAACGTTGTCGCTTCGAAGCTGAGAAGGTCCGCAAAACTTCTACCCGGAAGGCAGTTTGCCAACAGGGTGTCCGCCCGGAGGAGAAAGTTTAAATGTGTCCCTACCCTGCAGTCGCTCCCTGCCCGGGGGAGCAGCCGGGCCTCCCGGCCCCAGGGCTCTGGCACGGGGGGCAGACGCCCGGCGGCTGGGCACTCAGCGGCCGAGGAGCCGGCGGCGACCGAGCCGGAGCGGGCGCCTGCTCCTGCATGAGGAAGGAGAGCGCAGCGGGCGGCGGCGGCGGCGGCTGCGAACTCCCGGGACCCGCGCGCCCCGATCCGGAGGTGGCCGCCAAGGCCGAGACTCCGTGCGTGTGCCTGGAGCTTCCCGCATGGCCCGTGGCGGCGGGGCCCGGGGCCACGGTGCGCAGCTTGACTGCAGCCATCCACCACCAGCTGCTGCAGCCTCGCCTCCTCTTCAAGCCGCGGGAGGACTGCGCGCCCCTGGGCCACGATGGCACGGTTCCCGGGGCCCCGGGCGAGGAGCCGGCCTCTGGGACCCGGGCGAGGGGGGGCTCCGAGGAGGGCGAGCCGGACGCCCCGGGCGCGGATGATGGGGGCGACAGCAGTGACCACGACTTCGAGATGGTGGATTTGAACGAGAAATTCGTCCTAGGCCACTTGCTTGTGGCCCCTTGTCGGTTCGGGACCCGCGGTGAGGCCGAAAAGGCGGCACGGGCGAGCAGCCCCCATCGCTGGATGCATCTGATCCCCGGGGGCCGGCGGCTACACCGCAGGAGCCGCGACCTGGAGCAGCTGGAGTCCGAGGCCAAGGACGGGAGGCGCTCGCCCTTCGCTACGGAGGAGGCCCCCCGGCGCGGGGCCCGCGATCACCTCCCCCGGTGGCGGCGGCGCAAGGGCTTACTGTGGGTGCCCGAGCGGGACTCGCCCAGCCACAGCTCGCCAGAGAGGGGCAGTGACTGCAGCCACAACAGCTCAGACCACGAAGACGGCTCCTCTGCAGGTAGGCGCACCCCTCCCAAGATCCCCGATTTCGCGCACCCCCTGGGGGGGGGGCTGCTGGTCACCCCATCCCAGGCACACCTTGTTGTTGGTCCAGTTTAACCTCGGGCGCCTGGGAAGAAGGGAGATAAGATTTACCTGTTTACCTTGAAGCCACTTGTGGAACTTAAAAAAAAAGCAGACACCTAGTGCAGAGTGATTTGGGCTTGGGTGAATTCATAAAAATAAACATTATGACGATGGCAGGGGTGATGGAATGTGTGCTTGGCCAGACCATGGAGGAATCTTGCACTTAGGCCTCTCAGCCTTTCTGCTCTGTCTATTGCGACATCATCCACTCTCACCCCTTCCAACTCACCCTCCACAGGTCGGCCAGATTCCTGTGCGCCACACGGATAGGATCCTGCTCTGAGCAAACTGGTGGCTGCCATGTCCCCCAGATTCCTTGATGTGGAGGTCTCAATCTTCCACTTAATTTTCTGAACTTATCTCCCATCTCCTCCAGCCTGTATCTGTGTTCCCCTCAAATTGAAACAGGTTATCACTTGGTGAAAGGTACATAGTCCTCACTGGCCCCTCCCTGCCTTCCCTGACTGGCCCCCTTCCTAGAAGGCTGCACTTGGTCTGTCAGCTTCCTAGGAGCTAGGAGCCCGAGGGAGAAGGCAAGGGCTTAGAATCATAGAGTCTTCAAGCTGGCCCCCTGCCCAGAGATCATGTCTAGGGCAGTGTCTTCACATGATAAAGGAGGAAACTGAGCTGGTGCCTCCACTTGGACCTCCTGTCACTCGTCGTTTCCCCTCACATCTGCCCTCTCTTCTGAGGACAGGACCTGGTCTTAGACAGTTTGCATCCCCTTGTGATGGTCAGCATGGTGTCTTGCACAGAGTAAGTGCTCAATAAATATTTCTTGAATAAATGTCTGCAGCCACAGGTCAGGGAGGAGGAAAGGACAGGGATGCAGGGTGGCCTGTGACTGCTCCTTGGCTGTCCCCTGGGGCGGTCAGGGTCTCCTCGACTACAGGCAAAGAATGAATTGGTGTCTGTCTAGCTCAGGCTGAGACCAGGAACTTCACATGCCTTCCTGCTAAGTGAAGGAAGAAGAAAAAAAAAATCACGGATGCTGGGATTGTTCCAAACTTTCCATTATTAGATTTTATCTGGGTAAGTTTGCATTTGAATGAAAAACTGTCTACTTTGCTAAAAGCACATTTGGAAGGCCCATCAAGTCATCTGTTGTGATCAATTACACTTATTCATTAGCTGAGATTGGCTGCTCTTCCCATAGATCATGCTTTTGCCGCCCATGCTAGTACCGTTTTTTTTTATGTGCCCCTTTACCTTAAAGGAAGAGTCTGAAGATTGCACGCCAGTGCCAAGTTTCAAATGCCCTCAGTGGAGGCTACCCAAGCGGTCCAGCGCTGCTTCAGAGCTGGCTCTAATCCCATCTCCCCTCAGACCCACATCAATCACCCTGCCGGGGGTGCCCAATGCACTGGATTTTCTCCAGGGAGTGACTTTTATTTCTGCGAACGGTCTCCTCTCTTCTTAAGGGCACTCTAGCCCAGAGAGCACTTCCACTACCAAAGGTGCCCCCTTTGGGTGGATCAGTGATAAAAAAAAAAAAGATTCTGCTTCCTGTGGACTGAAGACTCCAGCCAGGACACATGTCTGGCACACCTGGCTTTGGCTCGCGGTGCCTGGGCTGTAGTTCAGACATCTCTTCAGGGCAAGCTCTGCAGGGAACCCCTGCACCACTCACTGCATGGGAGGGCGCTGCCTCCAGCCTCCAAAGCCTCCCCAGGGAGGAAGTGAATGGGGGTGGACATGCACATGCATACATGCATGTACACATCCACACACTTCTGTACATGTGTACACATGTGCACACAGTCACATACATGTTGCACATTGGCACACAATCAAGGAGAAAGAGACTTCAGGCATACAGAGAAGCACAAGAGCGGAGGGATTAACGGCAGGGGTTTTCACACTGTGGGTGACAGCCCACTGAAATCCTGTGGTGAGGAGTGAAAGCATTGCCAGGCCGCCTTGGCCACCCTGGGCCGTCCCTGCTTCATTTTTTCTCCATTGCGCTCAACCATTTACCACCTGGGATGCAACAATTTTGTATGTGGATCGTATTCATCTTTCTCTCCGTAAAACGCAAACTCCAAGAGGGAAAGGATTTTTGTCTCTTTCTTTCACTGACATGGCCCCAAAGCCTAAAACAGCATCTAACAGATATTAGATGTTCCATACATACTTGTTGAATGATCTGTGCAGGGTATACCCCCAAAATGCATACACACTTTAAGAGCTGATAGCTCAGTGTTGAAAATGAAATGTATTTTAATAAACACTGGCTTCATAATTATTCAAAGTGTGTGAAAACATTTTGGGGGGACACCCTCTATATTTTAAATGAGATGGAATAGAAAAGAAAGCATCAGAGTGTATTGCACATGGTAATGGTGAGTATTATTCTGTTTTAAAAACTTTGTTTTGCCCAGCTGCTGTCGCTCAGTGGTTGAGCGTTGTTCTATGAACCAGGAGGTCACGAGTTCAATTCCCGGTTGCAGGCTCCATCCCTGGTAGGGGGCGTGCAGGAGGCAGCCAATCAATGATTCTCTTTCATCATTGATGTTTCTGTCTCTCTCTCTCTCCCTCTTCCTTCCTCTCTGAAATTAATAAAAATATATATTTAAAACAAAACAAATATTTTAAAATTTTTCAGTTATGTATAAATGTGTGCATAGATACTGGTTCCTGATGTAGAATTATTTCTTGGTGTGGGTTGGACAGAAAGCTTTGAAAATGCTGATAAAGACCATGGGCTCTGAAGCTAGATTGCTTGTATAACCTTGGGAGAAGTTATTTGAATTTTCTGTGTCTCAGTTTCCTCTAAAAAATGAGTGAGGCTGACAAACACTGCTTAGGTCATGCTGTTGATATGAGGAATAGATGGAATGTTATTTCTAAAGGGCTTGGAACGGACCCTGGAGCGTAGCAGATTTACCCAGTGTTCGCTAACCATGGCCACAGGTTGTTTTCCTTGAGTCAGTGCTCCCACTTCCAGATCATCCTGAATCACAGGTGCTTTCTGTGATGCATGTGTTTTTCCTAGCCAGGCTCCGTCCGGCTCTTTCTAGTACTTTCCAGGCAGTAGGGCAGGACCCAGAGCACAGTGGTCATCTTAGCTCATGAGTCTCTCTTGCTGGGTTGGCCCTCATGTTGTTTCTCCCTCTCCACCAGCAATCATGCCCATTTCCTGTACTCAGAGATCCTGAACTGAAGGTCAGGTTTATTGGGCAATTCAAACTCTGCCTTCCTCTTAGGGTCTCAAGGAGAAGGATTACATGAGACATCTTAAAGGCCCAGCAGGAAGGAAGGAAGGAAGGAAGGAAGGAAGGAAGGAGGGAGGGAGGGAGGGAGGGAGGGAGGGAGGGAGGGAGGGAGGAAGGAAGGAAGGAAGGAAGGAAGGAAGGAAGGAAGGAAGAAAGAAAAATGGCCCAGTGACAGAGGAGCTCCCCACCCTGGAAGAGGGCTGCTTTCTCTTAGATGAGGGGCAGATCCTCATATCAAGACACGTTTGGGGTTTTTTCCTACACATAACAGCCAAATCAGATTTTAAAGTAGTTAGAATGTCTTTTTTATTTTCCCTCAATATATGGAGAGATAGAAACATCAGTGATGAGAGAGAATCACTGATAGGCTGCCTCCTACATACCCCACACTGGGGATTGAGCTGGAAACCTGGGCATGTGCCCTGACCCGGAATGGAACCATGACCTCCTGGTTCATAGGTCAACTCTCAACCACCGAGCCACACCAGCCAGGCAAATTGGCACTTTTAACTCTCAGCAAGTAATGCTGTCCTGGCCAGCTGTAGAATTCTAGATTTCTCAATGTGGGAAGCCCTGCTATCAGATTCTGCCAATCTGCCAATGAAGACTTCTTATTTTTAATCTTTATGGGAAATGCATTTCCTGCTAGTTCATGTTACCTAGTTCATTTGTAACATGGTGGGGTGTTTTTTTTTCCCTTCCCGTTAGTGACTAATGAGATTTTTGCTCCAGAAAAAAAAATCCCTTGTGTTCAGTGGATGTGTTTGAATAACTTAACTCAAAAGTATTGAATTTTCCGCCTTAGCTGTGATAGAGTAATTTTTTTCCCATTCCCTGTTGTGGAGAAGACATTAAAGAACTCTTGGAGGCATATGCTGGTGGCTGGCTGTGATTCATTTATAACCGGAGTTGATATTGCGTCACTGTTTGCTTAGTTCTTCAGTGCTGGCCTCTGTCCTCCCCTCGCCCCCACCACCTTAGCACCATCTACGTCTCATGAACACTGTAGTCAGTCAGAGGATGTGGGTGGGCTTAGCAAGTTCTTCCTCCTCTACAACCAAGCCTGAAAACGTTTCTTCTTCTTAAGGGACTATTCATGAAGCAATTGACTCTGTTTTTGACACTGGATCTTTATGTGTCAAAGTCAGTATCGTCATGCACTTTCCTGGCTTTGGAATAATGATACAAACACTCTCTGCATCTGAAAATTCGGCTTGATGTTCCCCAGCTTGCAGGGTTGTGAGGCTTACATTGGACAAGTTACTGACTTTCTCTAGGCCCCAGGTTTCGTATCTGCTGAATGGGGGGTGAAAATGATAGAACTGTGTTTGTTAAGCATGTCAAACTCACGGCGCCGCAGGCCACAGGCCTTGTTTATTTGGCCCGTGTTAGCCTTTGAGTTTGACACGCTTGATGTATGTCATAGACTTAGGAAGCTTCAGTGAGATAATGTGTGTAAAGTGACATAGCACAGGGGCGGACACCTACGTGTTTAATAAGTCTTAGGTGGTGTTATTGTGACTGTTCCAAGTACAGGAACTTTCAGTTTGGCTGAACCACGACACAGCTCATATTCACATACTATCTTCATGTAATGAAGTTCCCCAAGCCTTTTCGTCTTATCTCTTTCTCTCCTTTCTTACCTTCCTCAGGTCCA